TATATGTATATGTATATATGTATATGTATATATATTTATGTGTATATATATATGTATTTATGTATATATATTTATGTGTGTGTATATATATATGTATATATGTATATGTATATGTATATATATATATTTATGTGTATATATATGTATATCTATATATATATATGTATATATATATATATATATATATATATATATATATATATATATATATATTTATATATATATATATATATATATATTTATGTATATATATATTCTGAAGTCATCCCCATGATATAGCTTGAGAGCTAACACATCTCCATATTGCAACTGACCGTGCGTAAGGTGAAGAAACTCTATGCCTTCAACTGATTACTGTAAGTCCTGCTCTGAGAGTCATCAGTGACTGGAACCATTTCAGGCCCAAGCTGCAGAGGAGCCAGTATGAGTCAGCACTCAGCTTCACACGAGTCAGCACAGACGTACACTGACGTGCTTCAACTGCTTTTATTTGAAAAGTGCTATAAAACACGATGTTTCAGATTGCATAATATAGACATTCTTTACAAGAGTACAGAATAGTGTTCCTCATTTTGAGGCAACGTGGGAAAACAACATATTTTAGTTCAATAAATGTTTGTCGGAGCTGCAATATGTAGCTGGAATGGAATTAAATGCATTGCACGTTTATGTTAGAATAAAGAGCATCAGTCTGTAGTGTTCCTAAGACTGAGTCACTTTTTAACGCTTAAATAATATTTACGTTCAAACAAAACAATGTATAAAAATAAAGATTCACTTTTGCTTCATAAAAATGTTCTTTTTGTTTCAGTTTCCGTTTCGCTTGTGGGGTGAGAAATCCAATGTGGGCTCAGTTTGAGCCAAAAGTGTGTGTTTAGAAGATGTTGCTGGTTCTGTAGCTCTGAAGGAGCTGGATCAGTTCCAGCATGTCTGTGGTGTCTGGGTTTTCATTCAGGACTTGCTCCACCATGCTCTGTGGGTACAGGGTGCTCAGCTGGCTCCTTAGATTTTTTCTTTGGTCGTACGACAGGCTCTTGTTCTGGCACCCCAGGTTGGTGCCAGGAAGGCTGCCCTGAACCCACGGGTCCAGGGACAAGCTGTGTCTGTCAGCAGGCGGTCTGAAGTGCTGCTTCTCTGTGAAATGACTTGCTTGGTCCCTGGTATATGGAGGCACAGCGGGGCAGGAGCTCCATGCAGGGTGGTGGTGGTTAGCAGGGGCCCGGCTCTTCTGGTGACCACACTTGCACTCACAGGACCCGCTCTGATGGGAGTAATAAGCTGGTCCACTCTGACAGGCTCTCAGGCTGTTCCCACCATGTGATCCAGACACCAGGTAGCTACCCAGCCCGCTGCTGTGGCTGGTCAGGGGGGGCTCCATGCTGTAGGGTACATCTTGTATGTAGAGCTGAGACATGGAGCTCTCCATGGAGCTGAAGGCCTCGTCTCTGTCCGAGCTTGGGTAGTAATGGTTACTTGTGTTGGTTTGGGCTTTCTGACATGTGAAACGATCAGTGGGTACGGCTCTGTGAGACGGATCCTCTCTGCTGGGAGGTGGGGGGGTGGACGACGTGTATCTGTGCTCCTGAGGACATGCAGCAGGTGACAGGTTTTTGGCTCTGTCTCCGAGAGCCCTCAGTTCATCAGCTACCGACAGCTGTGACTGGTTGACCCTCTCCGGATGGTAGAACTTGCACTTTAAGCCATAGGTGCATTTCTTTCCTAAAAAAATAATCAAAACACACAATCAACATCAAATTATTTCACTTTAAAACAAACAAACAAACAACTCAGATTTGAGGACCTTCTTGAAATTGCCAATAACCAACACCTTCCAGCCAGCCATCCATCTTGCCATCCATGCAGCCAGCCAGCCATCCATCCATCCAGCCATCCATCCATCCAGCCAGCCAGCCAGCCAGCCATCCAGCCAGCCATCCATCCAGCCAGCCATCCATCCATCCATCCATCCATCCAGCCATCCAGCCATCCATCCAGCCAGCCATCCAGCCATCCAGCCATCCATCCAGCCAGCCAGCCATCTATCCATCCATCCATCCATCCACCTATCCATTCATCCAGCCATCCAGCTATCCATCTTGCCATCCATCCATCCAGCCATCCATCCATCCATCCATCCAGCCAGCCAGCCATCCATCCATGCATCCATCCATCCATCCAGCCATCCATCCATCCATCCATCCATCCATCCATCATCTTTACCCACTTCTTCCTTTTCAGGTGGGGGGGGGGTCACTGGTGCCCATATCCAGCCATCACTGTACGAGAGGTGGGGGACACCCTGGACAGGTCTCCAGTCCATCACAGGGACACATAGAGACAAACGAGACAAACAACCATTCACTCTCTCACTCACACCTAGGGACAATTTAGAGTTACCAATCAGCCTAACATGCATGTTTTTGGACTGTGGGAGGAAACTGGAGCACCTGGAGAAAACCCACGCATGCACGGAGAGAACATGCAAACTCCACCCAGAAAGGCCCCTGGACTGGGGTTTGATCCGGGGTAACCTGCTCACTGAGAGGCAGCAGCTCTACCAGTTGTGCCACCGTGCTGCCCCCCGAAGAACCAATACCCCAAAAGTAGTATCTGAAGTGTATTTCTTTTCTTCAAAAGAGCCAAGTCCTGTTTGTTTACATTGAGGATGAAATATTTATAACTTGTACTGGGACCATCCTGCGAGGACACAGTATTTGCTCCAGCTTCAACTTGTGGGATTTATGTCAACACCATTGCTTGGATCTCCAATATGTCTACATGAGAGTACAAATGAAATGCAGCATAAAAAGCAAGAAGTAAACCAACCGTATGGACAGTGCTGCTGTCTGCTGTCTGGGGTCCATGGCTTTTTCCTCAGAAAGTCATCAATAGTGGGGCCATTTCTACCAAGAGGATCATCTGGAGGCATGAACCTGAAAACCACCACAAACATTTGGGTCAAGAATGGTGTAAGAATGAGGCAGGGCATGAACCCAGACCCAAACACAATCTCCATAAGTCTTACTTGTCATTGGCAAACGTGTACATGAGGAGTCTCTCCTCGATAAACCTCTTCCACTGAGAATTCTCCATCTGCAGATCGCGGTAGTTGTCGTTGGAAACAATAATACCGTCCAAATCGACTGCCAGCCTAATGATGTACCGGTCGTCATAACACACAACCCGTTTCCCGTTGACAAAGCGGGAGGGTGTGTACACCAGGATTTTCCTTCTCTCCAGTTCATGTAGAATATGTTGATCTACAGGACACAAAAGATTACTGATGGTTAGAACCAAGCTGAAGTTGGTTTTGTTTTCAAAAATCTAAATGGACTGTTCTTATACAGCACCTTTCTATCTTATTTCAAGATACTCAGAGCTCTTTACAACAATCTGTGCCTCATTGACCCATTCATACAGCTCTATACTAGATCTCTACAAAGATAATTGAACAAACCTAAAGAGACTAATCAGAGCTTTAGATCACATTCATGCACTGATGGACACACATCAGAGGCTATGAGAGGTTCAGTGTCTTGCCCAGGGACACTTCAGCACGTGACTGCTGGTGGATTCAAACCCCCAACTCTGCTCTAACCACTCAGCCACAGCTGCACATATCCACCCAATCTACTCGTGTTTAGTGGCAAAATTCTTAGGCTTTGACATTTGTAAATTTCTTCCACACATTAGATTTAGAGAAGAAGAGAGTCCAGGCAGGATGGAGTGATGGAGAAAAGTTTCAGGAGTGATTTGTCCCAAAGCGTGTCAGCAAAGGTCAAAGGAAAAGTTTACAAGACAGTGGAGAGACCAGCTATGTTGTATGGTCTGGAGACAGAGACATGGACAAAAAGACAGGAGACAGAACTGGAAGTGGCAGAAATGAAGATACCATACCATTTTATTTATAAAGCACTTAAAACAGCTACAAGACCAACCAAAGTGCTGTACAGACAGAACAACAGGTAACACACAAAGCAAAATACAAAATGAGGTAAATCAGAATATAGACATAAAAACTATGCAGATAATGACGACAAACCAGTGTGGAGCATACAGGATCAAAACACAGATCATCTGGTGTTGAAAGCTACTGAATAGTAGTGGGTTTTTAAACGGGACTTGAAAACTGAGAGGGAGGGGCCTGTCTGACAAGCAGAGGTAACTCGTTCCAAAGTCTTGGTCCTGCTACAGAGAAGGCCCTGTCACCTCTGCACTTAAGACGAGTTCCTGGAACTGTGAGGAGCAACTGGTCCGCTGACCTCAGGGAGCGTGGTGGGACATACGGTTGTAGCAGATCAGAGAGATGGGGGGGGGGGGGG